TTTTTTTTGTCTTTTTTGAGGCAGGGTCTCACTATGTAGTTCAAGCTGACCTTGAGCTCACTTTGTAGCCCAGGCTGGTCTTGAACTCGCAATGATCCTCCTGCCTCAGCTTCCCAAGTGCTGGGATTACAGGCATGCGCCACCATGCCCAGTTTACTCTTCTCATTGACAAAATATCCTACACCCACAAGTTAAAGGAGGGGAAGGTTTATTTCAGCTCACAGTTTGTAGAGGTTTCAGTCCATAATTTTCTGGCTCCAAGGCAGGGTAGCATGGCAGAGGGGTGCTGGAAGAGAAAGCAGTTCATGGCAAAGCAGGCAGGAGGCAGTGAAGCAGCAAGCAGCAAGGGTGAGCAGCAAGCCTTCCTTTCCCTTTTATCCCACCCAGGCTATAAGCCTTTTGGGTGGTGCCACCCATACACCATTACCTTCATTTCTTGTTCCTCACTGCTGTGTGTGTGTGAGTGTGTGTGCGTATCACAGCAGCTGCCGAGAATACAGCCACCACTGGGATGGGTGGGGCTTCTGTCTTCAGTAAATCCACTCAGCCACACCCAGAACTACGCTAATTCCAATAAATGGACTAATTTAGTACCATATACCCTCAATCCCAATATCACAGACCCTAGACCCAGTAAGCCCTGAAAAGCTCTACCTATGAGGCTTTGGGGGGACATGTAGACAGATCTGTATCTACAGGTGAGAGGGATGAACATTCAATGATAAAGCATAAACTGTAGGACCTTTGCTGATAGGCTTGATTTCTACCCAGTTTTCACAAGGGCTATATCACCAGGGGAATCACGTGGCTGTTTAATACCTTAAAAATGATTTCCACACTCTACTCCAAGGTGCCCTTGGGTATTGCAGAGGTAGCACATGGTATTAGAGGTAGGCATGGTATTTCCCATTTTCTAGAAAACATAGCCAGACTGAACATCTGCCAGACACCACACTGACAGGTATTTCAGTTTCAACATTAGAAACTGAATGATGTCACGGCACATCCTTTGTGATGATGTCATAGTAATTGCAAAGTGGTGGCTGTATTCTCTGCAGCTGCTGTGATACACACACACACTCACACACACACAGCAGTGAGGAACAAGAAATGAAGGTGATGGTGTCCATGCTGATTCTAACATTGGGAAATGATGCAGTGCTGACAGAGTCACATGTCCCATTAGTCATGGTGATGACTTAGGAATGAAATTAAAATATTATTTTTAAATTTACAGTATTATTGCTTTGAATGGTTCCTATGTTATTAAAACAGAAATGTGTGTTAAATTATTTATACCCACCTTCTTAATTGACTTGTTAGGTACTTCTCTAGGCAAGGAGATGCTATGCAAATATCACTGAAGCATCAAGGGTGTGTTGAAGGGGACCTCTGTATTAAAATTATCCCAAGGACTCCGAATTCCCACCACTAGGAGGAGGGCTAGGAAGGGCCTTCATGCCCAGCGGTTCTCTCCAAGGTGGCTGTGAAGGACCACAGACAAGGCGGAGCTGCCCAAAGAACAGAGCTGAGGGAAGCCCTGGAGGCTGGCGCAGCTTCTCCCCACCTTACCTTCCAGAAAAGCAAAGGCAGATTATGGGCTGACAGTGACAACTGCTCACTTCCCTTGCTTCTCCTTCCAAATGAGCGCTCTTACGGTGGTGTCAAATTTATTCCTTCTCCATGATGTGTTAAACACCTGAGAGGGAGTGAGTAGCCCATTGTCCACTACAGATTGGTGGCCTGTGAAAAGCCGCATCCAGAGTTGATGAAGGGAGGAAAGGAGTGACCTAAGTGAAGGGCACTAGTATTTGACTTGCACTGGGAAAGAGCCAAGGACATGAAGGTTATCTATGGGTTGGCTGTTATGCTAGGGATATAGGTACACCCATGAAGTCATACATGTAAAAAAGTAGCGTGTGTGTGTGTATGTGTTCATGCAAATGGGTGTGTCTGTGTGTGTAAACACATGTCCTGGTAGATGTATCAGTTAGAGTTCACTATTTCAGCAGAAATTATTTATCTATATCTATCTATCTATCTATCTGCGTTTTACAAGGTGGGCTTACGCTGGCTGCCTATGGAATCAGGGGTAGGAGAATGCAACATGGTCATCTGCAGACCGGAGAGCTGGAGGATCTAGTTGAATGTCGAATGCCGGAACCTCTCTGCAGAGTCTGGTGCAAGTCCACGTGGGAAAGCCAAAGGGTCTACATGCGAAGGCTGAAGAGTCTAGGCTGGAAGCCTGAAGGAACTGGAGACAAATGTCCAAAGGCAATGGCAAAGGAGCTCCTCCTCCAAAGAAAGGGGAAGATTTTTTTCTTCTTTATCTTTTTATTCTGCTCAAGCTACAAGCCCATTGGTCAGTGCCACTCACATTCGGGGTAGGTAGGCCAGACTGATAGGCTTCTGATGGGCTTGAAATCTTCCTTCCTCAGTTTGTGGGCTACATGTCAATTATCCAGACATGCCCAGAGCTTTACCAGCCTGCTCGGTGGCTCTCATTCAAGTCAAGTTGACACAGCACAGTTAACAATCATAGCTGCCAAGGGGTGCAGCGGATCAAACCAGGCGTCTTCTTTCCACCAGAAAACTGCTCTTTCCAGGTTTCTTTCCATGCCGTTTGGACTGGACTCTTCTGTCAACTGCCTTCTTGCCCTGTGGTCATAAAAATGGACACACACAAATTTGACCTCCACTAGATCTGGAATATGGACACTGGGAAGATTAAATCACACTCTTCTCTGACATTACAAAGACCCCAGAGTGGCTCTTGATAGCATACAAAGAACCAAGAAGAAGAAGACACCAAGCATAGGGAGAGAAGTGAAGAGCAGAGATGGATGGTTCCGATTTTACCCTTGAACCCTGTCCTCTTGGGTTTACCCAACCTTCATTTAGCTAAGCTTGGGTTTCTGTTACTGAGCTAAAATTTCCCTTTTGTGCTCATGGAGGTTTGAGCTAGACCTTTGTCATGTGTTATTCAAAAAGTTCCAGTTAATAGAATCTCTAGCTTAGCTTCTTTAGAAAACCAAATAAAAATGGGCTGGAAAGTCAAGGTGCAAAATGACACACCTGTCTTTTTGCAGGTGAAGCTTAGAAGGTAATGCCAGGGTAGCCTTCTCATGAGGAATCCAAGCTGACTTCAGTCCTGTGCAGTCTGGAGCCAGCATCTGAAAATCATAGGCACATTATACCTTTGTGTGGTTATACAATGTTCTTTAGGTACAGAATTCCCTGGATCTGCTTGAAGGGAAAATTAAAATCATTTTCTACCATTTGTCTTCCTTGTCAGAAGACAGGGCCAAGAGCTTTTAAGAAGCAGCGTGGCACTTCTGAGGCTGTGGGATGGATGACATCACTTTCTTGGGGATGATTTCGTTTATGCCCTTTCTGGATCTATCTGAAAGCAAACTCAGCTTTGGCAGGGAGGGAAACAGACATGCACAGTGCCTGATAAGTCTTTGAAAACTGAAACCTTTACAGACTGACTGGCAGGGTCGAGTGGTCACTGTTCAGAGCCACGAGCCCTGGAAACTGGCTCTTGGCCAAGCAAAATCATACATGAGCCTCTTTCTACTGAGCTTGCTCCAGGGAGCTCTTCTAAACAGTGTGAGCACCCAGAACTGCCACAGGGGGAATGTACAGCCCAAAGCCCCTTGGTTTAAAGGAGGCTCAGCCCCCAATTCTCCTGGTAAACTGCTCTTTTGAGTGTTGTGAGACAGAAAGAGGCAGTGGGAAGAAAGCTTACTCAAATAAGTTTTGCCTGAATGGAACGGTTACAGGCCCTCAGAATCTCCTAAACTCCTTTCTGGCTGATTTGGCCATGTTTTTTTTTTTTTTTTTTTTTTTTTTTTTTGAGACAGGGTCTCACTATGCAGTTCAGGCTGGCCTTGAGCTCACTTTGCAGCCCAGGCTGGTCTCAAACTCGCAACAATCCTCCTGCCTCAGCCTCCCGAATGCTGGGATTACAGGCGTGTGCCATCATGCTCAGCTTGGCCATGTGTTCTTCTTCTTCTTTTTTTTTTTTTTTTTTGGCACCGGGAATCAAACTCATGACCTCAGGCTTGCCAGGCAAGCACTTATGCCCTGTGCTATATTCCCGGCCCGGCCATGTGCTCTTGATGATCTCTCCTAATGAGTTTTGTTCTCCGCTTCTGCTCCCAGTTGTTCAGGGAGGGGAGGTCAGCGATCTGGTTTCTGTGCGAGATAAGGCTGAGGGACTACGCCCAAGGAACTGTGGAGCCATAGCCGTCTACAGACCTGTGAGACGTGATTGTGGACAGACCCACAGCCTCCAGAAGTGCTTACTCCTGGAGCTGAGCCCGGGGGCATGCAGGGGACTGCCCAGGAACTCACAGAGCCAGAGGCTGTTCAGGACTGAGCCATGTCCCTCTAAAATCCGTACACTGACATCCTAGCCCCCATTTCCCAGAATGTGACTGTACAGTATCTGGAGACAGGATCTTTAAAGAAGGAAGTAAAAATGAGGTCATTGGGGGGGGCACTAATTCAGTGTGACTGGTGTCCTTCTAAAAAGGAGAGATCAGGACACACGGGCAGAGGAACAATCACACAAAGACACAGGAGAAGAAGGCCACTCGCAAATCTCTGAAGTCAACCCCATTGCCACCCTAACCTCAGACTTGCAGCCTCAGGAGCGGTGAGGAAATGAATTTCTGTGCTTATGCCACCTAGTCTTTGTGCCTGCGTTATGGTGGCCCTAGCAGACTAAGGCAGGGGCCGCCACAAGCTGATTTACAGAGATGTCTTTGTGGGAGCCTTCCTCCCAGCTCTGTACCCGCCAGAATGAGCTTCCTCCACATAGCTGGCATCTTCGCCTTGGGCTTCTGCATACATTTTCTTGCCATCATGTTATCCAAAGGTGAAGATATGGGCACTTCTTTATACTGATGTTAATCATTTGTCTTCACCTACGAATGTGTACGATTTGTCAAGCCTGTGTTAGTTACTTATCCAAGCAACTCATATTTTTCTCTTTAAATTTCACCATGTGAGGCCGAGTGTGGTGGTGCATGCCTGTAATCCCAGCACTCGGGAGGCTGAGGCACGAGGATTGTTCTGAGTTTGAGACCAGCCTGGGCTACAAAATGAGCTCAAGGCCAGCCTGAACTGCATAGTGAGATCCTGTCTCAAAAAGACAAAAAAAAAAAACCCAAAATAAAATTAAATAAAAATAAAGTTCACCATGTGAGTCCCTTTCTTTAATCTGAGAATTTAAATTGCTAATGTGCTACTTGTCTAGCTGTTCTTTAGAAAGTGGCATTTAGGGGATGTTTACCAGTTCAACTCAGAAAGGGAAGTAGAGGGATTGATTGTTGAATTCTTGATTTTTGCTGCATTCTTTGACCTCAGTATGGTCGAGGAACTGGCTTGGGGAACATCAGTACACAGGTGCTCTAGATTGGGTAGGTCTTGGGGTAGGGATATGGAAATGTCCTTTATGGCCCAGAATATGTCAAAGCAGAATTCACTGCTCAATTTATGCTCTTAAATACACAAAAGACAGAGAGCCAGGGGATGAAAATAATTCAATGGATTAGTATCTCCATGGAGATCACAAAATGTATACTTTTTAGGGAGACCCTCAAAAATCTCTCCTAGTTATGGCAGTGTATGTTCTGTGGTAATTACATGCAACACGTTAGGGATGGAGGGAAAGTGACAAGAGGAGGTGGATTTTTGTTTGTTTGTTTTTTTCTGGTACCGCGAATCGAACTCACGACCTTGCACTTGCCAGGCAGACGCTGTGCCACTGAGCTAAATCCCCAGCCTCAAGAGGAGGTGGATTAAAGGATGATCATTTTCTTCCCTTGGTGACAATAACAGCTACTGTCACTCCAAGCTTAATCAGTTATGGTACTGTATAGTTCTCAAATTAAGATTTGGGGAAATCAGGTCTCTAGGATGGGATAAAGAGGAACCTCAAAGGATCTAGTGTTTCGATGCCCTACATGGCTGATATGTAATTGGCTTTGAAAAAAGGTGCGAATAAATGCAATGCAGCGCCATCAGCAACTGGGCAGGATCTGATTCAGAACTCAGACCTGCAGCCCAGGGAATGCTGGGTAATGCCTCATGGCACGCAGCAGATCCGTAACCCCTGTGTGGCTGCTTCTTTCCTCTTCCTGTGAGAATGGTGTGCAGCCTTATAAATATGGTCAGATGGGGAAGTGAAGTTTGGCGGTGGGAAGGGCTGAATAGGAAATGGATGAGCTAAGGAATGCAAGTCACTGTGTCCAGATGAATGGTAACTGGGTATAACCTATATGTTCTTAGCCTCACTAGCCTTGGGATACAAAATGAGATGCTGATTATTTTACAGAATTAATTATGCTCCCCATACACTGTTCCTCCTCTGCTGGAAATGAAGCCTACTGCAAAGTGATTTCTGGATTTCCTGTGGCAATGCCTCAGAGCAGCACCCAACTTTACAGCTTGTCTGCAACTTACAGTGCTTTGACCTTGAGGGGAGCACTTCTAGCCTGGTGGTCTCGGCTGGCTCTGGTTAGCAGCGGGATTATAGAAGTCATCTTTAATTACAGGGACAGCCCCTGCTAAATCTTGGTATATACACATCTATGCTTTTCTGTTTACACATAGTAACAGATACATCTTCATATATATGAAGTACGGTGAGATCAGAATATTGTGTATTATTTCATAACCTGCATTTTCCTAACAATATACATTGAAAATATTTCTCCATATCACTAAACATGTAACTGGCAAGTGCTCTACCACTGAGCTACATCCCAAGCCATTTTTAAAATCTTATTTTGATGGACACAGGGTCTGAATAACTTCCCAGGTTGGCCTTAAACTTGCAATCTTTTGGCCTCAGCTTCCTGAGTAGCTGGGATTACAGGATGTACCACTCTGCTCAGATAAAATACATCTTTTTTTGGAGGGGTAACCGGGAATCATACTCAGGGCCTTGTGCTTGCCATGCAGGCACCATGCCACTGGGCTATAACCCCGGCCCTGAAATACATCATTTTTAATGACTACAAAATACTCACCTTATGGGTAATACTATTGTTTACTTTTTTGCTCTGTTCTTGTTTTCCCACAATTGTGAATATCACTTTATTACGTTTTAATACACATTCTTACAGGTTTCCTGCTTCTTTCTTTAGGATGTTACTTTGGGTACGATTCAGGATTGAAGAGTATGAACATCAGCCAAGCATGGTGACACATGCCTGTAATCCCAGAACTTGGGAGGCCGAGGCAGGAGGATCATCATGAGTTTGAAGCCAGGTTGGGCTACACAGTGAGTTTAAGGCCAGTCTGAACTATAAAAAGAAACCCTGTCTCAAAAAACAAATCAAAAAGAGTATGAACATTCTAAAGAATCGTGCCGTGTTCTTGATTGTTGTGCTATGCCTCGACTTGTGTACTCCCTTTTCAGGTTTACAAAATTTAAGATTGCAAACTTCTGGACATTAGGATTCATGCTTTTAATTCATCACTTTTTTTCCCCTATAGTTCTGCTGGGAGTGGCAGCGTTTAAGTGGCCAGTGGGAATCCTGAAGGTATTTCAAGGTATCTGAAGGCTGAGGTAAAACCGTGCTTCCAAAAGAAAAGCAGGGATTAAGTTTTATCCACAGCACCCGAAGGAACTGAAGTTCTTGGAATTCTACCAAACCTCGAAGAATGAAATATTCCTTACCTGGTGGAGGACTTTGAGTCTTCTCCAACAGTCTGAACAGCTGGGGACTCATTTTGTGTGCCTAACCTCGCACAAGCGTGGCGCAAAATGGGCATTACAATGTGAACAGCGCCATTTCTGAACTTGCAGCCCACTTTCTACCCATTTGCTCTTGTAAATAAAATACTCTTCCGAGGCAGCAGGGACTCACCCCTGTCCCCGTTCCTCGGTCGGTGGAGAGGAGATGGCAACAAAGGTGGCCAACTGGCTCAGAGAGCGCCCGGGCTTTGGGACACGCTGGAAGGAGGGAGGGGGCTGGGGCCGAAGTCTAGACGAGGCTTCCTTCCATTGTCTTCCCCTTCCTCGGGCCGCTCTGCACCCCGCTTTCCCCTTCTCACGGAGGGGTAGTCCCGCCTGGGTGCAGCGAACTTTCCAGCGCCCGGCAGCCCGAGCCAGGCTGTTTACAGCCGCCGGAGCCCGGGACAGGACCCGCTCTCCCGGCCTCTCCCCTCGGTCTCCTTCTCGGGATGGTTGAAAACTTCACCCAGGCACCCAAGAAGCTCCGCCCTGGTCTTTCGGCCCAGGCCAGAGGCTGAGGCCCGCTGGCTCGCCCGCTCAGCCCCCCAAGACCCGGGCCAAGGGAGGCCGCCCAGAGCCCAGGTGGCCCGGGGCCCGGGGAGGGCAGGGAGGCGCGGGTAGT